CCCTGCGAGTGATGCAGGCGGTTGGGCTTGTTGGCCCCAGCGAAGAAAGTGAGGTGCAGGCTTGGGTCTGCCTGGGGCCAATGGCTGTATGCCTTCTTGGCTTGTCGTTGAATGTCTCCGACAGGTGCCACCGCCGCGACCGAGGCCAGATCCCAAGGCGAGGGTGCGCATTTGGCGCACTGTCTTTGCAACAGTAGGCAAGTTGTTGACGTCTTCGGATATGTGGATCCGCGCCAGGAGGCTGCCGCTTCCAAACCTGCGGTGACGAATTCCGAGGTGCTGAGCAAATCCGAGCGGATGCAGTTGACGAGTTGGGGCCCTGAGACGCAGTGCATGGTGCAAAGGTGGTCGCGACAGCCCCAACTGGGCCACCACCAAAGCCGGAGGCCACTTGCACTGCAATTGGCAGTGATGGAGAGCCGGGATCGTTGCAGTCTCTTTGCAGGAGCTGGTGCCCAGCCGTCCTGGCGCTTGCACTGACGTGCAGGCACAGGGCCAGTTCACATTTCTGAGGGACTGCTTTGCATTCCATACTGGTCTGCGTGGGGCCAATAGCAGTATGTTGGCACACTGTCTTTGCAACAGTAGGCAAGTTGTTGACGTCTTCGGATATGTGGATCCGCGCCAGGAGGCTGCTGCCGCGAAACCTGCGGTGACGAATTCCGAGGTGCTGAGCAGTCTGGCAAGTAGCTGATGTCTTCAGACATGTGGAGCCGCGCCAGGAGTCTGGTGGTGCGAAACCTTCACATCCTGCACCGGCGGATCCCAAGGTGCCGAGCAAATTGGGGTAGATGATGGTAGATGTACAGTCAAGGTCTCTCAGGCAGGTGTTTTTCCTCAAATCAAGTTGTGCACTCCAGGCTGTTGTTGTCGCACTCGTCCGTGCAGGGTTTTGCGCAAACACTGACATGCTGACGCAGGGATTTGTGCAGGGCAATATATGATAGTAGTTTCCGTTTTATTCTCCATTGTCCCAATCTAAGCCTAATATTACCCCAACGGTAGCTGAGATCGCAGGTGGAGGCCCGGTCCCAGAGCGCAGGGCTTGCAGAGGCCGAACTTCCAGGGCTTGCGGAACTTGACCTTGCATGAGAGACAATTTGGGGATTATGTTGGGGTGTTATTGGGATGATGGACAAAATTGAAACTGCCATATTATGATGGGGTTATATTGGGATAACGGAAAAGAAAATGGAAACTATTATGGTATGTTGGTCTTCTATTGGGATAATAGAAAATGAAATGGAAACTACTATAGTTTATTGGGGTTATACTGGGATAATGCCAATAACATGGAAACTACTATATTACACTGGAGTTATTTTAGGGTTATAATCCATCGCGCCCTGGTTGAATGTCAACAGGAGCTCTACCGGGAGTATTACCGTGAGCATGGCTGCAAGCCGCCCAATAAAGCTGCGCGGCTGCATGAACCCTACATAACCCTAGGGTTTAGGGTTTAGGGCTTTCCATGTCATTCTCCATTATCCCAATACAAACCCTAATATTACCCCAATGGGTCCCTGTCGTCGAAATGAAAAGCTGGTCAGCTCGATGAGCTCAATCTTGCAATAGAACGCATGTGAACACTGCCGAAGCCTTGCAAATAAATACATGTGCCATGTAATTACCATGGGTGTCATTGCCATCATTACCTCCACCAAGATTTGATTATCTTCACCAAGACGTCCATCCAGGTGAATTCATGAGGTTTGTCCATCATCCATG